AAAAAAGAGGAGAGATAAACTCCATACCTACTTTATTTTAAATCCTTTTATCAATCATAACAACAAAGCGTAAAATATTAAATGACAGTGGAATATGAAATTAAAGCGGAAGACTTAATTAAATAAGCTGGAAATAAGCAGATTCAGACGTGTGCCTCTACCTAAGAACTGTGTCACATCATCGCACGGCTAACTAAGAGGTACTAAATACCACAATTAAAGAAATATAACATTTTTTGTCTCGAAAACATGAGATAACAGAAATAAATATAAGCTAGAGGAGACGTAGGGCCTGCGGATGCGTACAAGGCTACCTCGAAGTCTCGGTGGAGCGAAGGCTTGACTCCCGAGCTACTGCTGCTGTCCGGGGACTGGATCTGTGCAAAAGAGCCAGAAGTGAGTATCAGAACAACCGACTATGTGCTGGTAAAGCCTACCTAACCTCAGGCGAAGTAGTGAACGAGGCTAGGACCAGACTACCAATAAACATGTGCAGTTATATAATTACAGCGGGAAGTAAAGCAGGAAACAAGTAAGGATGGAGGAGGAAACATGTTCGAGGAGATAACAGTTAACAGAATCTCAAGAGAATTAATCGGAAAAACCAAATAAATTCAACTTCTAAACAAGGATAAGGAAAACAAACGCAGGTTTCACTCTCGGTTCACCAACTCGTTGCAAGGCGTGCAACCCGATCTCATTTTATCATATCTCGATGGTAGCGCGTACCACCTCGCTCCCATTTCACTAAATCTCGTGGTAGGCATCCCACCACCTCCCATTTCTATTAAATTTCAACAAGTTCTTCCAATGAAATTTACTCCAAAACAGCAACATTAATACGATTTCATAAGACAAAAGTTACACCATAATTATGAATCACTTGAGGAAAATAAATTAAATGGACAGTAGCAATTAATTACGGACTTTAAGGAACAAATATGGCAATTAATATTAGTAGCTAAATGGTCAAGTAGCAATTAAGTCACATAAAAAATGTAGCAAATTATAGCATAAATTCAAGGCCATAATGTTGCGCAAGGAACCTCGAGCCAATAATAACAGTAGCACATTAAGAGGAACATGCAAGACATAAAGAATCAACAAGTAATAGTGGAATAAGACAATTAATGCACTTGAACCGATAACAACAAAAAATCAGTAAATAAAAGTAAAGGACAACATAACTCAAATTATCAGCAAGAATCAGGAATCAAAAGACAAGTGCCACGGCAATCACCTTCAATGCTTTTATCTCCGTCCTCACCCAAGACAATAATAGTAATGAAAACGCCGTGCACGGCATCACCCTTCGTGCTTTTACTTCTTTCTTTCCTCTGTCTTAGTAAAGCAATTAGAATAATAAAATGTGCATGGCATCACCCTTCGTGTTTTACTTCTCTTTCCTCACCAAAGCAATTAAATAAAATAAAAATGTGCAC